TTATTTCATGCATTTATTCTGCAATTATACATGTATTTTCTCGTAACAGAGTACACTGTGCATATCATGCACATCCTATTATTACGGTAGTTCCATTTATATAACACTTATAAATTATCAATGCAAGTAAATAGAGTATTATTATTTATAACACAATTTATACGTACGTAAATTGCATTAATATACTAACACTGCAAAATTAAACTACTGAAATGTCATAAAATGACATACTTTCATAAAAAAAATAAGTACGCATAGACATATCAGCATGATAAATGGAACGTTTTCACCGATGTCATTTGAACTTTCATATAAAATATTTTTTGGATTAATTAAAATATTGTTCGATGAAATTAAAATACAAAATTATTGGCTATTAACATTAATTATGATTTTCAGTATCTCATGTTTTCTAGAAGTATAAAATATACATATTTAATTAAACGTATTTGCTACAATGGTTTATAATATTTTAAAAAGCCTTTATGGATGTATTTTTAAATTAAAATTATTTAAATAACTAAATCGGGTCGTATATATTTTAATGAAAAAAATATAATCAATAACTTTAACCTTCAAATCAAAATATTTTTACAAGCAATTTTTTTATTAATATTAAAATTTATGGTTATGAAATTTATTATACTCAAACCTGAGCTCAAACCCAACCATGACTAAATCAACATCCTTTACATACATGCGCATATACTACGCATTTTTTAAGCTTGTGTTTTTTTAGGGGCCTCTATCTAACCTTGGGTTTAGAAACATGTATCTGTTGTATAAATATACAGAGTGCCTATAAAGTTTGAAAACTCACAACTCTAGAAGTAAAAATCAAATTGTTGAGAATTAATTTAATTTATTATTCAAATCGAAATTTTCAACAATTAAGTTGTTTTATCTTTAGTACAAACAATATTTTGTTATAATACTATGGATACGGGATTCATACATTTTAAATTTTTTCTATATAAATATATATATATATATATATATATTTTTTTTTTTTTTTGGGGTATCACAGTTTAATTTTATTAAATTCCGTACGCTTATAGAATATCGCAAGAGCGTATATAACTTTTATTACAATAAAAGGAAAGTGGATAATAAATCATATCGCATTGACGGTTTTTACCATACACCACACTTTTTTCCATCATTATTTTATTTATCAAAGGCTTAAACTACCTATTGTTACTGTGCGGTTTATTTTTATTTTGGGTCCAAGATTTTTCATCCCTCCCTAAATCCGTACAACGGATTCAAATAAAGATTTTTGATGCACCAATCCCATAGTGTTTTTTTGTAATAAAATTAAATAATTTATTAAACTGCCACCGTCGTCTAAACAATAAGCTTGACACAAGTTTGTCGCTTCTCGGTTTTATAGTTTCATTCCCAGCTTGAAATAAGGTGGGACTAAAAAACTCATTAATATCGCAATGACTCATCTCTATAATTAAAATATACTACTTGACAAATCAACAAATTTATGCTATGTTGCGTAGGCATCAAATGTATTAACACAAATATTATGTATATTTTGAGTGCCCAGAATATTAGTATATATTACATGCAGTTTTTATAATAATATATATATATATATATACATGTAAGCTGTGTACTACGCATTGTTTACACACCATCATATATTTTAAAAAAATTGATATTCTTGTAAAATGTAATGCGTACATTAAATTACCATAGAAATGAATAATTTTTATATCCTCACGACTTTTTATTTTGATTTGATAAAATTAACATGTTTTGGTTAAACTCCTTAGTTATTAATTTATTATGTATGAGTACTATTTATTATAAAACAGTTTTTAAATAATCTTTTAAAAATATTTTTAATTTTAATATAATTGTTACTATTTTAATTTGTTTTCCATTTTGCCGAACTACTTTGGATAAACATTTAAAAAGTACATGTTTGCTCGTGTTATTAATTTTAAAAATATTAATTAACAGTGTAAGTTAAATTCATGATATATTATTAACTTATAATAACATGGTATATACTCATCTAACCATATTATATGTAGGTACACCAAAATATTATTTTGAGCTTTATAATATAATTATTTCTTAGCGAATAACAAACAAGTATATGTATGTGAAAAATTATTTTAATCAATACGGAAATATAAGAACATATTTTAGTTTGACATGTAAAAATATTTCATAATATGAACATTTTAACACAAAGAAAGTGAAATGTAGAATCACGTAGTTTAAAACAATAATTATATGATATGATAATTTATTATTCTCTTACATCGTATCTGTTATAAAATAATGATGTTTACATAATATTCATATAATTGTATCTGGCGGGTTGTAATCACGTACCTTTAAACATCTAACTATAAATAAAGTACCTTCTGACGTTAGTAGTCTTTTCGATTATAAAAGTTAAACATTATTGAAATCGTAATGTGCATATAATGTGTAAATTTTGGAATATTTTGTGCTTGGCGAACCATGAAAAGTACTGGGCAAACAATAAAGGAGACAATTGGGTTGGGAAGGGCGAAACACAAATAGTATGTACACCTATAGTTGTATATATGCTATTATGGGCGCACATACGTGACCAAAGATAATTGTTGAGTAGGCGAGCCCACGGGTCTGCATAGTATGTGATGTATTGTGGTCGAATTTTCTAATTAAAATATTGGAACGATCGATTAAAGGTACCGTTTGTGCATAACTCAACGGTTGTGAGTGTGTGTGTATACTTATTCGATTGAACTATTCGTGTATAAATGCGAAACAGTTAAAACCACAATATCGAATTTCTATTGTTACATTGTTAAACATACTTATATTGTAAACACGAATAATTTTCAACTTCAAATTTCATCGATATTATCGTTCAAATTACATTTCATTTCTGGATCGTACAAACTGATTTTATGTATACATTCATATAGTATTACACGAAACTAATCTGATATTACATTATTTTTCAACATTAATTTCCTAAAACAAATATTATCATCTGTATCAACTGTATTATGTATTTGATTTCAGTAAAAACGACAATTCCACCGCAACGTAATTCACATAAATAAAACAACGCACATGAACTTCCTACGCACACATAATTTCATTAGGAACTCTGTTTTAAACTTATCCGACGTCAAGGCTGAATCATTTATTTCGCTGGTTTGTATATAGTGCCTATAATACCTATACATTATCATCATAATACGTAACAACAAGTATTGGAATAAAAATCGGAGAGGTTTGCAACGTATTAATATGCGCTATAATTTTCGTTGTTCTTGTGGGACCGGTCATAATATATTATGACCGATATATGTCAATATATATTATATACTTTTATATTTTATATTTATATCGTGACGTATAGTAAATTGACATAGCTATGATTGTGTAGCTTTAATCTTTATCGGCTTACTGTGTACCTATATCATGCAAGTCCGAATATATTTTATTATTTTACATTCAACTTACTTTTTTCCATAAAAATATATAATACAAGTATGTGTGTGTGTGTGTGTGTGTATAAGTACTTATGATACTTGGGTGTCAGAAAACTCCACAAATCGTGTGTAATGATCATTCGTACACGTAGGTACGCATTATAGCAATGATGTAATAATAACACAACATTAATGAATCGTGTGGACGCGTGTATAATACATGCTGGAGCAAACGCAAGCAGCCGATGCTGCAGCTGCATTCGTTTATTCGCTAAAAACAAACTATACATAGCAAGCAAACATAACATTATAATGATGTATAGATATAGCGTTATAATGTACACCTCAACGAAATGTACGTTTAGTAAAATGTATTACACCATCTGCTGTTACTATTTATCCGTAGTCATATAGTAATATATGTGTGCCTATGTGGTACAAGTTAATTTTTTTCAAAGAACTCTGCCAATTTTTGTTTTAAAAAACGAATCATATTAAAATACATTACCTATGATCCGGGTTTGTTTCTAACACATGGCATTACGTACAACGATATCAGAAATTTGTGGAACATAATATTATTATCTGCTGTATAAAGCTATAGTTTTTCAAATGACTATTATACTAATGGTTGTTTTTTTTTCTTTTCGTTTCGCCTATATTTGTTAGACGAAAATCTTCGTTTGCATATTCCAAAACCAAAAAATGTTATAAATATTTTAATAAGATGTACATCGACTCTGTTGAAATTTTTTTTATTAATTTTTTTGTTTATATATTTAAATTGGACACAAATTCGCCAAGATTATTTTGAAATTATATATAGTCCTATTTAAAATACATTCTATAAATGTTTATAGTTTATAAAAATAGACAAGACTAGTGAGAATTTTTCGGCGTACATAATATCACAATTATTGATAGCCGGTGACATTTGATTGCGCTATAGATACTATTCCACTATCACTATGATGTCCCGTGTAAACTGCGTGGTTTTAGTGAATTGGGCAATCTTATTGGCATATTTTATTTGTAGCCAAATTTGTTACCACACTATCATACTATCATATTTTAAAATATCTAACTATTTCTCGATGCATTTGAGTGTCGTTGATGGTTACTCGATTACAGTAATTTAATACAAATTTATAGTTAAAAATATATAACTATTCTAATAAAGGCCTATTTAAATTGTAAATTTAGTTGAATTGAAAAAATAAAAATAAAATACCAAACCGAATATAAGAACAGTAAAAATTTGATATTTTTAATATTCCATTCCGAGTAGAAGGAGCGAACAAAAAAATAAAAAAATAAAACCACAAAAATCGACCGCGAGAAACGGGCCGCGCGTTTTGACGTAAAACACAATAATAATAATAATAATAATAATAATAGGTAACGGCGTGCCTGCCAAGTGCTCGGTACAGCAGACAACTAAGGGCGTGCAAAACGCGTTATCCCGCGCGCACCACATTATATAACGATTATCGTGTACAGCGTAACGACGAGACGTTCTGATTTGCCGGTCGCGTGTTGCAGACGTTTTCCCGTGCCACCCGGCGGCGGTAGTGGTGGATGCCCGGTCACCTGTATTATGCTGTCGTACATGGCGCCTTCGGTGAGCGACAAGCCGCCAACGGTGCCCAGCCGGCTGGTGCTGGAACACAAGTCGGCCACGACCACGGCCACGGCGTATCACCGGTTCAGCCGGCCACCGTCGATCACGTTCAATCTGCACGACGGGCAGCTGCAGCATCAGCGCGAGGGGTTCGGCGCCCTGCCGGTGCCGCCCGTCCGGCGCAGCATGGTCAAAGAGGACAGCGCGAGCAGCATCGCGTCCAGCGTCGACGTGCTGCCGGCCACGCACCACGACTGCAGACGGCCGGCCAACAAACCGGCCACGTTGAAAAGGTCAGTGTTTTCGTTTATGCGCGGCTACTTAACCGTCACGTGTTTGATTGTGCAATGTCCCCGTGCTCATGCGTATTATTTTATTTGGCTGACGAAAACTACGTGTTCAACACACGAGTGCGAACTACGAGATAATTTTGTGATGGAGGTCGAACCGAATACGCGATCGAACCTCGGTGTCTCGTTTGGTCCGGAATCGGAACTCCGTCTGAAAACAAATACCGAATCATATGCAAATAAATATCAATTTTTTTTTTTTATCGTATAAAGTACACTTATCAATAAAAGGTTTCCAGACTCTCCGGGTTATAAAACGCGTGCTAAAAAATAATAATGTTTTCGTAATTAAAGTTTGTAAAACTATTCCGTCTTCACCACCGTGGTAATGCGGCACCGTTTTATTCGTACTTATGTATCATCATGCAGTTTTCGTATTATACTCGATGAATAAAATTATACTGATGGAATCGAGTTCAAGCCCCGAGTCGTGTTCGTATATTTCGGTTTAATCTCCAAAACCATAGGGTTCGACTGATCGCTAGAAAATATTATTTCGGCCATAACTTTATGCTATACACTTATCAGTTACCTATATACTTAAGTTGAGCTCCGTTTCATTTATTTTCGGAGATTCAACTATATGTACATATATTATAAACGCACAGTCTCGCGCTCCTCATTAACGACTATGAAGTATAACACGCCTCGTGGAACAAATTATAATAGACGTGGTACGCCCTTTGCTCTCCGGTGAATTATTCTCGGGACAACTTTCACGTTAATAATTATTTCGAGTCGGGGTGGCATGGCCGCTGGTTATCGCATTCAAAAACAACGATAAACTCTTATATTTCACTATTATCCTGTAACGCGTTTTTTTTTTTTTTTTTGCTCTCTTACCGACGTGCTACATGAAATTATTTTAACCAGTCGTGCGATTTAACCGTCGATCTCAATTGTACTTCATCTCTTACACGGAGAAACAACTGTTAACCTATAATTTTTTTTCTCTCCGAACCACGTCTATGTAACAATAACACTGACAATTATTTTTAGACCACGTTATTGGTTGCAACACCTGTCAGCCGCGAATTTAATGTACGTTATGTATTGTATAGCCGTATAGGTATGTAGAAGATACTGTATAATGGTGCAGATATGATGACTTTAACGATTAGAATCCCTAAGATACGTTTTCCCTGTCCCGAGTTTTAAAATATTCTTAATCACAAAAAAAAAAATCAAAATATAAATTCGGATTATACTTATAAATATTCGTTGATCATCAATGTATTATACAGAAGCCATATTATAAATACTCGTAATAATATTATATACTAGTCGCACTTTTTTTATGTACGAAGTTGCCACAGTAAATTTTAACACGATATTGATTGTGAATTTTATATATTTGTATATATAAATATTTAATCTGATCATCGAAAGAGTATACAAAAAAAAGGGAGCCAACCCCATGTTACCCCTCTTGTTTACACCTCCACTACCAACACGTATGGAAACTTTCGACGAAAGATTTACGAAAATTCATCAAATTCTGAAGAATAATATTATCTTGCTTCTTCAACTTTGGAGACTAGTTTTAACGTAACGTCATTTGATACATTACTATAGACATTTTATGATATAATAACTCTCGTCTTTTATCGCACATTTCGACAATACTTTTTTTTTTTCTTTTTCGATCACGCGTTCTCGGCATCTGATATCGCATCACACTTTTGATTTTGCAAAAATTATAAGGAATAAAATAAAACATGTTTTAATGAATACTACTTCGAGAACCCATACATACTCACACATTCTCTCTTTCTCTATGTGAAACGAATGTACATTTCGCCACAAATTGTTCGATACGGTTCGTTTTATATGTACAACATTGAATCGTATACACATACACATTTATTTATTGCTCGTTCAGATGTTTACGTTTTTATTATAATCACTTTCTAGTCATAGACGAGCGCACGTAGAACAATACAATCGTTGTCGTGTTCTTTATTAAAATACATTTAAATTTCCGAGTAAAATTGCTTGCAGTTATGCACACATGTACATATTCGAATGTGATAAAAAAAATTAATCACTTTATGCTCGATTACAACACACCATTTGATTGAAATTAATTCAGACGTGCGCTGCGTCGCACAAATATTCGAACGTTTTGAACGTTGCATTATAATATTATGTACAGAATAAATAAGTTATTGATTCCAATTTGTCTTACAGTTCCGTATAAGTAATTGTATAATAAATTATTTTACGCATATGTTCGTACGGCGTAACGGTTCCAATTGTTTTATTCTTTTTAACCATTGCAACAGGAATACATTATAATTCATTCGTCTTGTTAATGACATAAATTCAAAGGAATTTTACTATACCAATTAATATATTTACTATGAATCTACAATTTTAATATGAATATTATAAAATGTTTGCTCGTACCACAATGTATGTTGCATTATACATATATACATAAGTAGACTTCAACTGCAGTTATATAGTTTTTTATATTCTAAAATTAATTATTCTATTTTAACCTTTTTGTAGGATTACCTTGGATTATTGGGGTAGAGATATTTCTAGCTAGCGGATTGGGGTGGAATGATAAGCGAAGATGGAGACGTTTATAATATATTTTAGCTTCATCGTGCACTAGCGGCATTTTTAGATCTGAATGAATAGTATGATTAGATACTTAGAGAAGAACATTTAATAATTTTTGAAGCGCTTTATTTTGGAAAGTATAAATTTTATTGAGATTAGACTTTTTTGCGTTTCCCCATAGTTGCAGCCCATATTTCCACATGGGTTTAAGTTAGGATTTATAAATAAGTAGTTTAGTACTATTGTATGTAAATTTGTTATTATAAATGAGATTTTTTAAGAAACGTAATCGTTGGTTTAAGTTTACCCTTTTTGATTTGATATGCTGGGCCCAGATCAGCCTTTTATCAAGGGTCAAACCAAGATATTTAGTATGCACTTGTACAGTAAAGTTTTTTCTTTTACGTGTAAGATATAGCATCAACGACTCTATGGACTTGTTGTATAGTTGAATGGGAAATGCGAAATCCAAATTGAGGATTGAAAATTATGTTATTTTCTGCAATACACAGAAGCAAACGATTCAGTAAAAGGTTTTCCAGAATTTTGGCAAAAAATGGAAGTAATCTTATGGGACGGAAAAAGGAAATTGAATCAGATGACTTATTAGTGTTGGGGACCAAAATAATAGTAGAAAATTTCCACAAAATTGGGATGTAAGGGAGTCGTAAAAGAGAGACATGGAAAACAGAAAAAATATGGGAAAGATGAATAATTGCTTTTTTAGATAGACATCTAGCTACTTCAACTGTTATAAGGTCAAATCCTGGGGATTTTTTAAGGGAGCATTGATTTATGGCAAATTTAATATCATTTGGTGTGAAGTGTTTAACAGGACCAGCCGAAGAACGTGAAGGAAAATTAACAGTATTCATAATGGTATATGAGAATATGTCTGGTTGAAGTTGGAAAATATCAAAAAGATGCGTTTTAAAAAGTTTAGCTTTGTCGGGGTCAGAAATTACATAGCTGCCATCTAGATTTTCAATTGGTAGGTAGCAGATTTAAATTTACAAATTTTTCTGGTCTCTTTTCAAAGACCACCATCTTTAGTAGAGAGAATAGAAAGAAAATTAGCAAGGAACTCAGATTTATGTTTCGCCAACACTTTTTTTGAGATGGTTGACTCATTTATTATATTTTTTTTATCAAACAGAAGACGCGTTCATTGATACAGAGCTCTAGCTCTACATTTTTCTACGTATATATTCTGGAATTAGAGGGTGATGGGATGAAGGTTGAAGTTTTCTTGTTGAAGACCAAGCCGCAGACTGTATAAGTTTCGTAAGATTATTTACGGCCAAGATCAATGTCATCAGGTGTTTTAAGTTTTACATTTAGACAAATTTGTTGATAAACAAGATCATAGAATTTATACTTATCAGTAGAGGAATTGAATAATTTAGGAGACTCCTGGTGTGTTAATGGGGAAGCACTTACTATTAACATAACTAAGGAGTTATCGGAATTAGAATATACCAACCTGTATATAATTTATTATAATTTTAACTGCATACGTATTCACGTATTTATACTGTATACTATATGTATATTTATAATATAAATTTTTACGAGTGTAAAATATAATTATGAAGTGAAATAACTGTCCATATTATAATATTTATAATGATTTATAAGTGTAAGTACGAGTACAAGTTGTATTTTATTGATCAAACGCTAAGTAAAACGTATGTGATTTGAACTAATTACACTATAACAACTTAACTTGGGTTTTGAAAATATAGTTGTATAAATAATGTTGTTAATGAATTTATGTACAATGAAAATATTTTTATTAATAGTTTAATAGCATATTCTGAAATTTGATACAGGATTGTTCTGGATAAATATTTAAACTGGAACTTGATATTATTTTTCAGAACATGGTTGAAATATTAGAAAGATCGCGAAAATATTTTAACACGCCACCATTTTAAGTAAAAAAAATTTTAGTTGACACAGTATTTTATTTTTCATATGCAATATTTATGAGTAAAAAATAATAATTGAGAACAAATCTTAAAAAAAGTAATTGATATCCTCTCTTTTATGCCCATAATCTTAAAGTTTATGAAGTTCTTTATACTAAATAAAAAATAAGCTTTAATCAATATAATATCATTTAATACACACCATATCTATGTAGAATACCATACATTCAATAAGTATTAAATGTACCTATATTTTAAGTATATCTAAAATATTTATTTTTTATTTTTGATTCCTTTTTTTTATGATTAATATAACTTTCACATCAACTTCCCACTTGTGATTAATATATTTTTATGATTTCTTATTCACATAATAAACTAAAACATTGTATAAAAAAAAATGTTTATATTTAGAAAATTTTTTGTACTATTGACAAAACG